CTTTCTTTCTTTCTTCTTTTTGCAGGGAATGTGAGTGAATACATTTTTATTTTTCAGGAGATTCGGCAGTTCAGGGAGTAGGACGCAGTATTCTCTGGTGGTTCTCAGCATTTCTAGCTGGGTAGAACTGATAGTGATTAAAAATCTGCTGCAAATTTTGGATTTTGTGAGGGATCAAGGGTGGAAATAGAGTGAGAAGCATGCTTGGTGGAAGTGCCCTTTAGCTGCAATATTATTGAAAACCTAAAAGTCAATCTCTTTAGTATAAAGTCTAGACCACAGGTGGGGAACCAAGGCCCCTTTATGATTTGTGGAGTTCAACTCCCAGAATTTCTGAGCCAACCATGCCGGCTCAAGAATTTTGGGAGTTGAAGTCCATAGGTCATAAAAGGGCCCTAGTTCTCTACCCCCAGGTCTAGGTGATTACAGCCTACAGAATCTGAATGGTAGCCAAATTGGACTCAGGCTCAGCTACAGTTAAACTCGAGCTGTAGTTGGATATGGCATTTGTATTCATCTTGGACTCATTCATACTCTCGCAATAAGGGGTAATGTCAACAGAAGTTAAGAGCAAGGAAAGAAAAAGCTGCAGCAGATCCTTCCAATTTGCAGACGGAGACTGTCTTTGCCAAACTGCAATGGGTTCAAATTCATTTTCTCCATCCTTGATATATGAAAACCTGTTTCATATTATCCTGCTTTAACTTATGATATAATCTTGGCTTTGGATGCACATCTATAAATTACATATTTGCTTCCCAAGTCCGTCTCAGTAAATTGCTAAATGTGCCTGTTGTTTATAAAGATGTATGTCTTGTAGCGTTTATAGAAGAAAAAAACAGATGGATTTAATCATATCGCCTTTATCGCTATTACTTATTGACACTTGTGGCAGTATAGTGGAAATATATTTACAGAAATTTCATCTAGAAGGATGTGGGGATTATGACAAGCATACAGTTTTTAACTAGACACAATATCTCTGTTTTGAGTAGTTTACACACTGTGCCAGACTGACATTTATAAAAGGGGGAAATATGTCTTTGAACATGTAGATTTTACATAATTGACTTTTAATAGATCTCTTAGTAGCAGCTACATTGTATACCAGTATAAATGAAAATAATTATATTGATAAGAGTAATTGCAAGTTAATGATACTTTCCAACTAAGATATACATTGGGAGTGAGACTATAGAGAACTTGATGATTCCTCACTGTCCTTTTTATAATTCTGGAAGAAATAAATTCTGGGACAAATTACATTTTAAGGTAGTGCATAATGTGCATGGTAATTTAAAATGCAATTTGTTTCTGTCTTCTTCTTCCTCTTCCTCAAATTAATCAACTGTCAGCAGATTTGAACATTGGGGCTTATCTAACAAACTGAAATTCAATGTAGAGCAGGCCTGTCACATCCTGTGGGCTGGATGTGTCATGCACAGGCCACACCCACCTTTGCAAAGGAAAAAAAGTCATGATATATCACATGACGTGATCGAGTTTGACACCCGTGATATAGAGAAAGAAAGGTTTTACATTTAAGCAAGAAAAACCAAATGTACAAGTACTGTTTAGGTGAAACATGGCTCAAAGCAGTAACTGTGAGAGAGATCTTGGAATCCTAGTATAGTAGAGAATCATTTACATATGAGCCAGCAATGCAATCCTAGGCTGCATTAACAAATGGGTAGAATCAAAATCATGCGAAGTGTTAGTACTGCTTTATAAGGACTTCGTAAGACCACACTTGGAATACTGTATCCAGTTTTGGTCACCACAATGTGAAAATCAAGTTGAGATCTAGAAAAAGTGCAGAAAAAGGCAAACAAAGATGATTAGGGGGATGGAGTTAAAACATATGAAGAATGATTGCAAGAATTGGGTATGCTTAGTCTAGTAAAAAGAAGGACTGGGGTGCCATTAAAGTTGTCTTCCAATATCTGAGGGGCTGTCACAAAGAAGAGGAAGTCAATTTATTTTCCAAAGTACTTGAAGGCAAAACAAGAAGCAATGGATGGAAACTAACCAAGGAGAGAAGCAACCTAGAACTAAAGAGAAATTTCCTGACAGTGAGATGAATAAACCAGTGGAACAACTTGCCTTCAAAAGTTGTGGGTGCTCCATCACTGGAGGCTTTTAAGAAGAGACTGGACAGCCATTTGTCTGAAATGGTATACGGTCTCCTGTTTGAGCAGAGGGTTGGACTAGAAGACCTCCAAGATCCCTTCCAACTCTGATGTTTTGTGTTCTATTTCAGGGAATAGAATTTCTATTTCAGGGAAAGAATGCCATGCCATAGAATTTTGGGAGCTGAAAGAGCTCAAAGTTGTGGTGTAACAGAATAGATTTGATATGTTTTTTTTCATGACCAACATCTTGTTGTGTCTTCCAGCTGAAATCTCGTGTTCTAATGACTCCTTTAGCAATCTCCCCACCAAGAAGCACCCCAGAACCTGATATTAGTTCAATCCCCCAGGATGCGGCTACGATTCCAAACTCGGCAGCACCACAAGCCCTCACAGGTATGTAGAATCAAACCCACCAAAATGAAAGCCTTTTTTTCACATTCAGTGTTTTTAAGAAGACTTATTTCCCTGTCCTTCTGAGAACCCCAAAACAGCTTTTCAATTAATTTGCCAGCTGTCTTCCCAAACTGATGTTTTCCTCTATTTTTGTTTTCAGTATTATTTGCTTCTTTGGTTGTACATAATAGAAAAAGAGATGCGCAGAAGCAACTTGTGTACTGACTGATTTAAGAGATCCTGTGCCACAGACTGAAAGTAAAATATGAGTGCTTTTGAATGAATAGATTCATCATCAGAACTTAGAAAAGCCATCTGTGTCCCTCATTTGTGCTTACAATGGGTTCTCCTGCTTTGTTTATATCTTTCGCTTTGTTGTGTAGGCTTTTAGTGGCTTACAGAGCTATGTGATGCTATTATTGCCATTATCCCCCTATTTATTCAGAATAAAATGCTTTGAGACTTTTTATTGTTCAATCTGAGTAGCTGTTTAACACTTCAAGTACTACATTTTTATTATGGTTATAATAATTATGTATTATCCATAGCATTACACATCTATCTTCTTTGCTATGTAACAATTTCTTTGTCACCTTTCTAATTTCTGTCACAGGATGATGATATATGTTCTGAATGATGACAACTCTAATACTTTTGTGGCCAGCAATAATAATGTGTCTTGTTTTAATATGACTGAGACCAGGTCTCTTAAGACATAGTCATAAATAGACCTGCATACAGTAGAGTGTCTTTCTTAAAAGAAAAAAGTTCTGGTATATCATCTGTTAGCATATTTATTCCAGAAAAGACCCAATAATGATATTATAAACTATTAATCTGTGCAACTACATAATAGATTGGATTAAGGTAATTTTGTATTTTTAATCATAGTCATAAATTGCACTGAAAGTTTAAAACCAAGTAGTATGGAATATAGATACTATGGAAGACTCAGTAAAAGTCTTTATGCTGACCTCTGGGATAATTAGAGAAGCATGGATGAAGAAAGAGTCACAATCTTCTTTTTTCCTCAGGAATTCTAACTTTAAAAAACAACAACGTTATTTTATAAAATTTTAACCATTTTGATTTCTTGCTTTCTTTCACATTTTATACTCATGATTTTCTTCATTATATAGAACCAAGGTTTTCATCTCATTCTATATGCCTAAATTTCTGGCTTCAATTGGAAATCCTTCAGAATTGTAGACTGTTCTCTGGAAAGAAATCAACAAATACACACACAAACACACACACACACACACACACACACACACACACACACATATGGAGATTCTCAGTCATCCAGGTCATGGCTGTCCCAAAGGTGCTTTTTCAAGAGGCAACTGGACTTTCTGTTTTTTCTTTGAAGACATTTTGCTTCTCATCTAAGAAGCTTCAGCTCAGAGCTGAAGAAGGTTTTTGAATGAGAAGTGAAACATCTTCAAGGAAAAGCCAGGAAGTCCAGTTGCCTCTTGAAAAAGCACCTTTGGGACAACCATATTTCTATAGTTATCAGTGAAGCATTTCCCAATCTGATGTCAGATACACAGGATCTGCAAAGGCCTGAATCTCCAGTTTACAAAACCAAATCAGGATCACAGAAAGGAAATGATGTTTTATGAAGTCTTTCGACAATGACAACGACTTTTTCCCTCCCTGCAGTCTGCCTTTATGTCAACAAGCAAGCAAATGTGGGGCCGTACCTTGAACGAAAGAGAGTGCAGCAACTGCCAGATCATTTTGGGCCTGAACGACCTTCCATGGTGCTACAGCAGGCAGTTCAGGCATGCATTGATTGTGCCCACCAGCAAAAGACTGTCTTCTCACTTGTCAAGCAGGGCTATGGTGCAGAAATGGTGTCAGGTAAAACCGGAGACAGTGTATTGCAGTAAATGTGTTTCTGCTTGCAAGAATGCTAACCAGAACCTTGAATAGTCTTCTATCCAGTGTTCATTAGTAAAAATGTTTAAGAGTAGAGTTGGTAGGGCTTTGTTTTATGCCTGTAATAATATTCCCCTGCATCAATTCCATATTTGGAAAGTCTGGTTTGGTTATAAGTTGCCTAGAGCAGGGGTCTCCAACCTTGACAACTTTACGACTTGTGGACTTCAACTCCCAGAATTCCTCAGCCAGCAAGTCACCTCTGGGAGAGATGGGTGGCATATACATTCAATAAATGAATAGGTAGAACAAAGTCTGAAAAGCTGTTCACCAATGGAAATTCGTCTCCACTTTGAACTGTCATGCTATAAACATATAAGCAGTATGTTTTGCATTTCCAATCCACCTGATTTCATTGTTCAACTCGTTTCTGTGCCCCATGCCTGTTTGTTTGTGACAGTGAATAATTAGGCAATTCCACATTTATAATGTGCCATTGTTAAGGTAAAGTGTTGAGCTTGACTCCTTGTGGCTATATGAAAAAGTACTTTACTTGTTTGTTCTTTTTTCTGATCTATCTTACAATCCTTGGATTTCTTAGTAGTATCCTAGTAGTACTGCACTAATCCGCTCTTACTCTGCTCAGCTTGTTGACATAAGCTAAGGTCAAGCAGATATAGTCACCTGCTGTGACAGAGGCAGCCATTTTATCTACCCTCAACCACAAAAACTCACTTAGTGACTTTGGACCAATCATTTTCTCTCAACCCAACTTACTCCAAGGGTTGTTATGAAGAAAAATGGGAGGAGGATATGTTGCTTCTACTGTTTGGAGCTTCTGACTAAACATGAAATGAGATATAAATCAAATACATACATACAGACATACATTACACTGATGAAAAGAGCATCAGTGAGCGCTCTAACTGCTATCCCTCAGATCATATTCTCTTTAAGAGGTATTATGTATTTATTATACAATACTGGGGTACTAGGATACTGATTCTGTTTTTTGAAGTGTTTTAATTCACATTTCATGGCTTTAAAAATTAATCATAATTATAAAAGTTTTTAAATACATGTCTATGGAGATTCTCAGTCATTCAGGTCATGGTTGTCCCAAAGATGCTCTTTTCAAGAGGCAACTGGACATTCTGGTTTTTTTCTTTGAAGACGTTTTGGTTCTCATCCAAGAAGCTTCTTCAGCTCATTACTGTATTTTGAAATGCAGTAATAAATCACAATATTTATACCATCCTTTTAAAAAGGATGGAAGAATGCTTTAAGAATTTTTTTTTAAAATATTGACAATTATCTTCTCCATTAACTCTGTTTTACTTCACTACAAGACTTGTCACGTTGTACAATTCTAAGCTTTATCCCACAGTGCAATATTTATTTATATTCTGTTTCCATTTTTGTTTCCCCTCTGGGCATTTTGGTCCTATTTGCACCTGTGCTGAAAGAACAAAAAGCTAAACATACACATACAAAAAACACTTTAGCTGAATCCTGAAAATATGCCAGGTTGTTATATCTAGTAAAATTATTATTATTTTCTTAAGGCTGAGTTCCTATAAACGTGAATGCAGCGGCAGTTCTGAGATTCTGATTAGACTCAGTTCAATATAACCTCTGCTTTTAAGATCTCTGAGATCTTTTTTGTTTCCATCAAAATTGACAGAATTGAGGAACCACTATAAACTCTAATCCAAAAAATTCTCCACCACAAGTGGTAGTATTTCAATAACGTAAATCAACATGAAAAAATGTATAGTTTAGGAACTGCTGATAGTGTAAAAATGGCCATGCTGACAGGAGATCATATTAGGCTGATATAGGGCATAATTTCACTATGCCAATGATGGGGAAGTACTCAGTCAAAGGGACATCAGCTTGATTTGCATGTAACTATCTACCCTTTTCTCTCTCCATCAGTTTCTGCCTCTTTTGAAGGAAAACAGCACCTCTTGAGCCTCCCAGTTGTGAACAGTATTGGTTACGTTTTGCGATTCCTCAAAAAGCTTTGCCGTAACTTATTATGCGACAATCTTTTCAGCAACCAGCCTTTTCCACAATATAACACTTCTGAAAATCCAGAAGGGTATGAAAATGGACAGATGGAATCAGGTAGGTTTAAGAATTATAAAAATAATGAATCTTCCAAAAGTGACCCAAGTTGGTGCAGTGGTTAAAGGTATCGGGCTAAAAACAGGGGGACTGTGAGTTCTAGTCCTGCCCTAGCCAGAAAGCCAACTGGGTGACTTTGGGCTGGTCTTTTTCTCTCAGCCCTGGAAGGAGGCAATGGCAGACCATTTCTGAAATAGCTTGCCAAGAAAAATGTAGGGACTTATCCAGGCAGGCTTCGAGAGTCAGGCATGATTGAATGGAAGGAAAAAAAAAAAAGATCCCACTAAGTTAGTTCCAATTGACTATTTGACTATTACATCATGCCAAAATATGCTGCTTTTTGCTCCTCACCAACTAAAATTCTTTTCATACATATTTAAGTTGCACCTCAAATCAGATATAGGAGAACTCTGCCTCTGCCTTCACTTTTAAAATATACAATATATAGGAATTGGGCTTTTGGGGAGGATGACATAGGAACCCATTTTGATTGCAACAGCATATGGAAGAGTTTTGGCTGTCCTGCTATGTGGTGGTTTCCAGCTCTAAGTTTCTAAAAAAGGCATTTAGCTCAAAGCTAGGGGAAAGAATAGATACTGTCATATAATTAAAGTCTTCTTTGAGTTGTGTTTCTATAAAGTTTCCTTGGCAATAATAAGGTAGTACTTTGCCATTAGTTTGCATATTGTACTTTGCCATATTGTACTTTGCCATTAGTTTGCATATTGGAGCTTGCATACCAAAGGGATTTTGGATTTGACCCTGCTTAGCTTTTGAGATCAGCCAATGTTAGCTAGGTGCTACCTCCTAATTTAGATTCTCTTGCCCGTATTTTTTGTCAATTATAGAATTAATGTCAGTTTCAGGAAAGGAAAAGGAATTTAATTGAGGACTCCTTTACCCATCACAGACAGTGTACCCTCCAAGTGAAAAAAATGGGGGTGGGTTGGTGGGTGGGAAGTTCATAGAAAGTTGTCCACAACCATCCATTTTTCATTGCAAATTGTGATGGAATATCTAACAGGCCCTGGGAACAGAGAGGAGAGAGCCCTGCTGCAAGGGGAAACACAGGGAATTAAGGTATAAAGATTCCCTAAAGATAAGGCAGAAATATGAAAAGGAGCTATAAAGTAATTCTGTCTTAAATACACCAGGTATAAGTTGAGCTGGAGAACTAATTGAGAGGCTTTCAAGATCGAGGTCAAGCTTTTCAAGGATAGCAGCCCCAGGAAACAACAAAGCTGGGGTCAGCTTTATTGATAACAGACTATTATAGCAGAATCTTGAATTAATTTCAACAGCATTTGTGTTCTGCATGTTAGGCCTTGCTTCTGCCATGTATTTAGACTTCTAGGCAAATATAATTTGAGAGATAGGGGTAATTTTTTCCTTCTATGTCATCTTCAGGTCTGTCAAAAATGGAGTCTTTCTTAGAATGTGCTGGCAAAGGAGGCTATGAAATTTAAACTTTATAATGTCATTGTTTTCTTTTATCCAAACTGTAAAGTGCATTAAAATGCTTTGAGGAGTTCGTTAAAAACATACTTTAATGGCTCAACATAATAGCCATACGTGTCTTTTTTCCTGACTTCGAAGTGTTCTTCTGAAGGCAGAAAAACACAACAAACACAATTTGAGTTCAGTTTCTTGTATGCTACAAATGTGCTGTTTTATTCTTCCTTTCACTTAGTCCTGTAGCATTCAAACTTCTTTCCCCCGTACAATAATTGCCGCGCATAGCTTTGGAGTAAAGTCAAAATAAATGGTTTTTATGGTTATCAGTATTTCTGGCTTTGGTTCATCATTTAATTACCTGCACAATTCATTTATTGCCTCATAGATTCCTCTGCCTGGAACATTATCCTTTAAACAATACATAAAATATTAAGGTCAGGCTTAAAGGGGGAACAGGAGATCTGTGCAATCTAGTCAACCACAACAATATTTAATAGAAAGCTATTTGCCTGTCTAAAGCAGTTTGTGAAGGGAAGGCTGCGAGGTTGTCTCTAGCATTTGAAATGAGATGCAGTGGGATGATTTGAGAGACAGATTTTTCATTCTTTGTGAAAGCTGAGCTCCAGCCAAAAGTGGGGTGTGGGTCTGCTGCCTCTGCCTCCCCTGGACGGGTCTTGAATGACAGCAATAGGGTCAAGGGGCAGGCTATTACAAGGGCAACTTTAAGAGAGTCAAAAAAAAAAAAAGTCAAGATGGTGTCCATGACTACGTGATTGAACACCCTTCTCTTTTTTTATATGGAACAAGTGGTGGTGTTCAGCCAGTTCACATCGGTTTGGACAAACCGGTTGTTAAATTACCCTCCCTATCAAAGTGGATCCTGGGTGCGGCACTGCAATGGAGAAATAGGCAGCAGAGTGGCCAGCACAAGGGAAGGAGAACGCCGCTTTCCCTCTTTCTTCTCCCTGCTTCTCTCCCTTCCCTCATGCCAACCACTCCATTGCTCCACTTTGATGGGGGAGGTGTAATTTAACAACCGTTCCCCCAGGGTCAGGTTGACTGTCACGGGAGGCTCATTCTGCATGTGTGGCAGAGCTGGAGGATGGGGATGGCCCAGTCCTCCCATGACAGCCAACCTGACCCTGGGGGAACCAGTTGTTAAATTATTTGATCCCACCACTGTACGGAACACACATGCAACACACATATCAAAAGGGTGGGATTTCAATTCAGCAGGCACAGAGGCCGTCTTCACTCTTTTGAAAACTTTGTGTCATTCCCCCCAGACATTCCCCCCTTTCTCGTGACCATAGCCTAATATGTCACTTTGTAAACACATTCCCTACACAAACCAGGCGTGTTAATGTACTCTGGTGCTTTCAGTTGATGGCAGATGTGCTGGGCTCTTCTGATGTTAACTTTTAGATAAAAACACATTCAAAGCTATATATTTCAACACTATTTAAAAGTTACCGTATATAAATAGAGCGTGAACCCTACATTTGTTAAATTAGGTAACATGATACCCAGTCTGTCTGTCTGTCTCTGTTCTGCCTGAAAGAAATAGCAAATAGATTGACTCAGCCCACTCTGGCCCATTTCCTAACAATAAGGAAAACAGATATCCAAGGGAAGAAGACGATAGAGCATTGAAAAATGGGGGGGTTGTCCCACGATTCCAATTACCTCTTCCTCTACTTTCTTTCTTAATCTCCAGATTAATACTGCTTGCATTTAAATTAATGGTCTTTCAATATCAGTTTCATGAGATAGCATAAACCTTTATCCTGATTTTCCCAAGGGCATCTGGTAAGAACAGAAAGTTGGACCCAGTGACCCTTTTCTTATATCCAGCACCATATTTTTATATTGGCTATCTTCCTTAGTAATTAGAGGAGGGGTTTTTTTGACCAAGGAAAATACAATAATGGAGAAGGGGAAAAAAATAAAGGAGCAAAACAATGTTATAACCCCAAAATGAATGCCAGGCCTGCTAGTTCCTATAGTTTGCTTCCAAGAAAAATTTAGAGCAGCCTTTCAGCCTCCAGATATATAAGACTACAACATCCATCTCCTAAACTGGCACACTAGTCCCGATCTTGAGAGCAAATGGAGATGCATTTGAATCACCACATCTGAAGGGAGAAGGGTGTTACGGAGACTGCTAATAAGAACATGGAAATATGGTCAGTTGCCAAACTGATGAACCTCAGTATGTGACTTTCAGATTTGCATATCATATTATGAAGACTCTTTCTTATCAGAGAGAAATCATCTACTGAGAAAAGCAAGATCTCCATTTGCTCCTGTAGCAAATTCTAAATCCCCAGGCAGTCTTCGTTTCTTTATTGTTTTAATGTGTATGTGCAGAAAATGTGATAACATTCTGGACATAATGCACAGTCTAGTTCATTCGTGTTTCTGAAATTAAACTGTCAAGAGCTATCTTCCCTGGTAGCATTTTAATGACTAATATTTTTGTCATAATGGCTTGCTAATGCCAATGAATAACAGAAAAGACTATGGTGGTACAGAGAACACCGATGAAAAATAAAAATTGAAATATTACAACCCCTGCTTTTTTTTTTTAATCAGAGTATCAGTATTTTGCAGCAGCAGGTATCTGGGAATTGGTGTTCAAGTGTAAGGTGAACGATAAGAAGCCTCTCCAATATTTCCATGGGTCCCACTCTTTGATTCTGCTTCACATAATTATAGTATCATGCCTAAAGCATTCTAAAATAGTAACTTACACCAAGATTTTTCAAGCTGTTTCACAGAACACCATAAAAACTTGATGAGACTAAAGGCAAAAGAAACCTCAATCCACACAGACAATTTTCTATCATTAGAGCTTTGCCTCTTTAGCCTGGATCCCAGGATTTTTTATTTTTTAATAATCAGGTTTTACAGCCTGAAAAGGTTTGAAAACTCTAAATTAGACGACTGCTGCCAAGGAATCAATGCAGTGCAGGATCGCTTGGCTTCCTTTTCTGTAACTTGCTAGCAAAGGCCAATTTCAAATAAGACATAGGGCTTGTACCAATAGCAAGAACACTTAGACTTATATACCGCTTCACAGTGCTTTACAGACCTCTCTAAGTTTACGGAGTTAGTGTATGGCCCCCAACAACCAACTAGGTCCTCATTTTACCCACCTTGGAAGGCTGAGTCAACCTTGAGCCTGGTGAGATTTGAACTGCCGAACTGCTGGTAATTGGCAGTTAGCAGAAGTAGCCTATGGTACTGCATTCTAACCACTGCACCACCACAGCTCTTAAAAATAATAAGTATTTTCTCTGTGGAAGATTAAAGATCTGTCAAAATCCATTTTGTTTATTCTCATGACTCAAAATCTAGCACAAGGTTTTACCAATCAAGTGCCCCTTTCATACCTTCTTGTTGTAAGTGCAAGCAAAGAGGAGACTTAATAGACAGTAGTCACCTATCTGCTGTGTGATTTATTTTATACCATGGAACCAGGATGGGACCTCTGCTCCATTAGCCCAGAAAACTCTTGAACTTACATATTTATTTAAGCCTAATCATATCTTTTTGTACATATTCAGATAATCATTCCAAAGCAATTTAAGCTCTGAGTCTCAGATTGTCAGTGATGTCCATATTAATTAATTTCCAAACTAGGTTGCTACTGCCTTAAAATTGAACTCCAACTTATTTTAATTATAAGTCCTTATTAATAATTTGTGTATAATACAACTCTTTCCATTTGCAGTAGCTCACACTTTAATTTGCTAGGGGATTTAAACCATCTGCCCGGTCTTTAAAACAGAATTAAAAACAAGAAGTTTCAAAATCAATGTTGTTGCTTTAGGAAATAGCACTGTGTTCCATGATAACCTGATGCTTCTCTTTCAAGCAGAAACAGTTATACCTGAAGATTATCTGGTTGATCCACTGGCTACAAAGCATTACAGCATTGATCCCTCCGATTCAGCATTTAATTGCATGGGATCATTGTACTCTATGAGGCAGAGTTCTGGAGAGGGACGGCATGGTGGAGGGTCATCTTCCACCTGCAGCCATCGTTCTGCTCAAGTGGCTTCTGGAGGACCATCAACCACTACTCTGAGGCATCAAACATCAAGCCCAACCAGAAACGGAACCATTCTGGAAGGAAACAGAAATGGTAACATAACACTTTTCCCTTTCTTCTAATGATTTTTTTATCACCTTGCTGATTTCTGTGGTCTTCTTTCGAACTTCCTCTTGAGAAAGCAATTATGTGTGCAGTAATTGCAATCAGATAACAGTAGGATTGTGTCAACAAATCTTGACAGCCCCCCAACCTTTGTGCAGTAACTGTGCAAGGATGGGATCTCTGTCTGCAGACACGCAGGACTTATTCTTGCAATCTAGTGCACACAAGTCCTTAGAAGTTTTGTTTAGTGCTGTGACATACAGTAAACCAGCACAAATTACAATAGCTGTGTAAGTTACAATTATGACAGTAACTTTAGATTTCCCATTCAGTTCATTTGACTGCTCTGATGAAAACGATGATTTGGGGCTCTAATTTTGCTCCTTTTGTGTTTCATGTAATAGTAGAACATTTCTGGAGTTTGCATATTTTTTCTTTCTTATAAACCAGATGTCATCAAGATGTTATTTTATAAAGACCCTGGGCAGCACCAAATGTAGCCCTATCTATCTATGCTCTGCTCTGAGGTTGGAAAAGGAAGAGTAGGAATCTCATACCCAGGAGAAGTAAAGATGCCGGCTGGGGTCAGTTAAACATAATAAGACATAGATTGTTGATGTACCTATTTAACTTCCATGCAAGTCCCTCCCCCACATTAATCTTATTATGGAAGAAAATAACATTGTAAATAAGAATATTTAAAAGTTCAGACATGAGATTCAGATATCAACTATCATTTGAAAATAACAAGCAACTTTTTTTCCAAAATGAAGGAAAATTAGATCTTATTGAATGAATATAGTATTTCCTCCCCAGTCCACCTTTCAGAGATTGGTGGGATCTATTATACCGGTTGAGGCTAATAGGGGATGAAATCCCCTCTGCTATTTACAGTACGTGAAGAAAACTTATTGAAATAGGATTACCAAAAATCCAAATGATCATTAGATGGCAGCAAAAAATTAGAATTTTCTGTATCTCCTTATTGCACTCCAACCTATGTCTGGGTTTTTTGTAGCCAGGGTCTTGAATCAGATGATATAAACAGATATTATGAGGTCTTTGGTGCTCTCTGAGCTTGGTGGTTTTCTTGCAGACGTTTCATTGCCAAACTAGGTAACAACATCAGTGCATCAAACTCAGAGATCCAGGACCCCATACTTCAACCCTGAGCTACAAATATTCTCCTCTATTGGTTAAACAGATATTGTCCAGTTGAAGAGCAGATTTTGCTGCTACAATAAATTTCTCTCATTGGTAAGTGACCTGCCCCACAGCTTGTTCACACAATGTTCTTGCTAGATACAGTTCCATCAAGAGGTAATCAATAATCAATCCTCAGACGAGATAAGGAACAGGCCAGAAGTATCCTCTCTCTACTCCTACTACCTACCATGCCTAAAATACTAAGCCACGAGGAAAGGGATTGATAAGACAGGAGATACCTTCAGTATAAGAACCCAATGTTATCATTTAGCCTAGTGGTAGCAAGATTTTAAACTATATTCATTTAATCACCAAAATAAAATTATGCAACTTCTGACCAGATAAAATCAGTTTTGCTACCCAAGAGAAAATGCAAGTCACTAATATTTAACTTTCCTAAAGGTACAAACATCTTTTTTTAAAAAGGGAGTTAATCTGGTAGTGGGATTCACTTGGTTCGCACCAGTTTAGGTGAACTGGTTGTTAAATTACCCACACACACCCCTTATCAAATTGGATCTTTGGCGCTATGCTGCAATGGAGAAACGGGCAATGGAGCAGCCAGCACGAGGGAAGGAAAAGGCTGCTTTCCCTCTTTCTTGTCCATGCTCCTCCTCCTTCCCTCATGCTGGCTGCTCCATTTCCCATTTCTCCATTGCAGCACAGCGCAGCACCCAGGATCTACTTTGATAGTGTGTGTGTGTGGGGGGGCATAATTTAACAACCGGTTCACCAAGGGTCAGGATGGCTATCGTGGGAGGATCAACCCACATGTATGGCGGAGCTGGAAGGCCATGCCTCCCATGATAGCCAACCTGACTCTGGGCAAACCAGTTGTTAAATTATTTGAATCCCACCACTGAGTTAATCTGTTGTAGTGGTTAAGGCTTCAGGCTAGAAACTAGGATACTGTGAGTTCTAGACATACATATGATTGAAGCCTGCTGGGTACCTTTGGCCAATCACTTTCTCTCAGCCTTAAGAAGAAGGCAAGAGCAAACCATTTCTGAAAAAAATGTTGCTAAAGAAACTGCAGGTACTTGTCCAGGCAATCACGAAGTGTACATGGTAATTTGAAGGCATATGCACACAAGGTACAAGTATAATCCTAATATATTCTGCCTGGAGACTGCTCCAACTCCCTCCTTTCTTGGCGCACACAGGACTCAAGATTTTGGTGGGCACCATATTCAGAAGCCTGATCAGTGCAGCCCAAATCTCTTCTGATTCTTAGGCTGCCATGTGCTGGGCAACAAAGGAGGCAGGAGAATTTCTCCTTGATCAGTGTGCTTTCAAATGGTGGATGATATGCAGAAATACTCATGCTACATAGTGTTTTCTGGTAGTATGAAGGAGATCCAGAATCTACTGCAATGTGAATGCTATAGAACTCTCTTACCTCCAGGGAAACTGAGTCCCAGGTGAGCCATCACACACCTATAAAGACTGGACAACCAGCTGCTTCTAGGACAGGAGCAAGACAAAACAGATCTTGTTCACTAGACCAAAGAGTTACATTGAGTAACTGCACAAGAGATGGACTGAGAAAGTAAAATGGAAGAAGTTGACCAAAGCTTTAATTATTTGCAGCATCTCAATCTTTAGGATTTGGCTAGAGGAGACAGTCATTTCATTCATCAATGCTAGCTGCTGTATTTTCTGCAGAGTTGATTATGTGGGCTCTTTCTTCTTGTGGATATTGTAAGTCTGCAATTCCCATTCTTCAAAAAAAGGGAACTTTGAGAAGTTCATTGCATGGAGAGTGAAGGCACACAGGATCAATCACTGTACTATTCTTTACAGGAAAAAAAGCATCATTAATATGGGAGCTCTTGAAATGCTATGAGTCAAGTTGCTAAATTCTAACTTCATGCAGCTTTTGATTCCCAATAACAGATTAATGTAAATCTAAATCTGCTAGTAGCTAGTTGATGTTATCACATTCTGTGTACACTCTTTAAGGATGGATAAATAGGTTCCCTTTCCTTTTGAAATGCTTTCTAAGTTTTTAAGCACCTCATAGTTCATTTACATTTTTCCTTCCCACCTGCCAAAGCCAGGAAATTGGATTTTATCTAAATTATGATCTTTATGGGTAATTATTGGTGGCAAACAGTCCTCTGTCTTTGTAATTTGAGTATTCTTTATCATCTTGATTAATTCTGATGACAAGTGCCCTAGGATACCTATGACATGTGAGAGATGAGATTGTTATTAATGTATTTAATCCCTGGTGTGAATAATTTCAGATGCATAAATGCAGGATTTATATACAGGAAGAACTCCTACAGCAAGAAAAAAAGCAAAACAAAAAATAACTGCATACAATATTCATGAAGAACAGTGGTATCAACCAGTTTTGCATCAGTTCCGTTGACTATCAGTTAACTCAGTTCATGATGTTGAATTTAGTTTCTTAAAGTCTTTATGATGTGAGTCCAAAATTCTCCTGGAAGGCCTTTTATGGAATTCATTTTCTGGGTTGGTTTATAAGCAAACAGCTGGGCTTATTTTGTTCATTTTTTTGGCTTTTTTGACATTTAAAGCATGTAAATGCCAAATAGAGGAAGTCTTCGGAATAAGACTATCTTTATCAGTATATTGCAGAAATGGACCATAAAACTTGATCATTGTAACTTTAAACAGGTAATGATCTCTTATAATCTCTATTTATTTAACAGTTTAAACTGTGCTTCTGGATCTTCCATTTCTTAATAATATATTTGAGCCTCTTAGCTCTCCTCTTCTTCATCTACTAGACATTTTAATTCCTCCATATCTCTCATACCCTTAATGTGTCTCTTACTCACTTATATTGTATAATGCTCTGTCAGACATTTTGATGCTGCTTTGTACAGCAGTAGTAGAGTAGAAACATAGAAAACTGCAATATAGAACATCAGGCCATTGGTCTGCTTTTTTCAGAATTGTTAACATTACCCAACACAGTTATGCGGTCTCAGACAGGACAATCAGTTCCTGCTCTATAAGGAGAAAGTGGAAATTGCATTTGGAGTCTTTGGTGGGCTGCTGTCTACAGGGATCCTGCCCTTCCTTGACTCTTATCAATGATGTACATCCATGCTGATGTCCAGATAGTTCTTGTAGCAGACCACAGACCAAGCAGGCTAACACAAAGTTAGTACTGTTGCAATTCCTGAAGATATTTTACACTAATGGCTACTCCATCTCTGGTTTTGTGCTAAGATGTTAAGCTAGAGCAGGGTGTCGAACTTGATTTCACTGAGGGCCGCATCAGGATTGTGTTTGACCTCAGGGGGTCAGGGTGGGTGTGGCCAAGGTGGCCGTGGCCAGCCAATGTACTCGTGTCATGGGCGCTTGTGGTGGCCCGAGCACTCTGTCAGTGAAAACGGGCTCCCAAGCTCCATTTTCGGTTGTCACGGCCTCCTGCAACCCTCTGCCAGTGAATACGGAGCCTGGGGCCAGTCCTTTGCTGTTTCCAAGGTGGCCCTATGGACCAGATCTAAGTACCCTGTGGGCTGGATCTGTCCCCGGGCCTTGAGTTTGATACTCCTGAGCTAGAGGTTTCCTGAAAATTTCTTTCCCGTGACTACTTAGGATTGATAAACCAAATAGTATCACGTAGCCAATGTAATGAATTGGAATTAGGGAGAAAATATATGAAAATCCTTCTCTGTTTGAATTTTAGTTAGTTCTCATCTCCTCAAGCTATCATATGGGATTAATTTTAGGATAAATTGAGGTGAGACTTCTTCAACCAAATCAAGGGTCTTCAAACTTGGCAAGTTTAAGTTGTGGAC